ATGTCCCTGCTCTAGCAGGGGAATTGAACTAGACAACCTTTAAAGGTTTCTTTCAGCTCTAAGGATTCTATGACTCTAGGTGAGGTGTCACGTTCCTAATCTCACAGTAGTCCCTTGGAGAAAGGGCTTGCTATGTACCTCCATTGATTAATAAACCAATTCCCTCGTACAGTCACACAAAGTAGGAATGCAGACTGTAAACTGAATTTCTTTCATTTTTTTGTCACATCTCCACTTAAATTTTGCATTCAGGTCTGGAACTTCACTCACAGAGGCTAATCTACTATTGGTTTCTTGCCAGGCAATTCTGGCCTTATCTCCAGTTTTAATAACTACCAGTATGTAACATTTTCAGATCAAGATGTGAACAGATTTAATGATAATGACAATGGAGCAAGGAAATCCAAACAACAATCCCAGGACGGAAACAGCGTTACTGAAATGTTAAGCTTCTTTAAAGCCAACACAAGAAGAAGAACAATAAAGGACAAAAAAGGCTGAGAAGACTGTAGAACTGAGCACTTAGAACTTAATGGAAAAAAATTCTACACCATTTTCCACAAAGATACATATATCAGCAAACAGACCACAACCCAAGAAAGTGACATCTGTGAAGATTTTTACTGTAGTGGAGGAAATCAAACTTCCTTGCTGATGAACTGGTGCTCAGTTGAACTCAGGGGATTATCGTATTACAATGCACAGGACCTCGTTATTCTTCTCAGCATTATGTTTCTCTTGGGGCTACCTTCTTTCTTTGTCTTCTGTTTCTTTATTACGCCCCTTTGTACTACTCTAAGATGAGCAGGGGGGTTCCAGATGATACTATGCTCAAGCACAGCAGCAGGATACCAAAGAAAACAATTTCTAGGTTTCACAGAAACACGACACCAGAAAAGTAGGCAGAGCCACTCATAGTAGCATCCACAGGGAAAGCAAGCACTTGGCTTCCCTAGGGCTTGGTCCTGTGCTTGACAAGTTAAGACATGCCAGGCCATAGTGGCAGAGAAAGAATTAAAGGTCTGCACACAGTGCCACTTTTAAAGTATCAGTACCACAACCAAAGTTTTCTAGGCTACTTTGTAAATGTCTATGTTGGTATAGCTTCTCTGAGATTCTGCACACGCTGAAACAAAATGCATGGAAAATCAGTTCAAAATTCATCCTCAAAAAACAGTGACATTACTACAAGGTAATGACTTACATACTACAAGCTATTGGCATTGTTTGATACTTAACTCCAGCCTTCTGAGATCACATGTCCTTGGAGAGAATGTCTTCCCTTATATGAGTATTTGAAGAATTAGATGAAATGCCAGGGTTGGCCGTGCCAAAAAGTAGGGAAACTATATGTGAAGTGGAATATTTTATGGAAATATCTGCCCTGTAAAATCGAAGCTGAACAATATGGCTGCATGAGGAGAGGTTTGTGCTTGCAGCAAAAAGTAGTAGCCAAGAATAAAACAGTACTATCACATTTTCAAGTACAAATTATCAGTCATAATACATATCCTCTAAAATACCCATCTTCTAAGTGCAGGTTGATCCTGCATGTTTGATTTTGTGATCCTTAATAGTGCTGATGAAGTTTTCCAGTACATCCTAAACATACATATGCATTCCCTTGCTTTCAGCTAAAATTGCTGGAGATGTTCTGGCGCCTGGTAGCAAATAAAATCAGCAGTGAAAGATCTCACAGAAGGAACCTGATGCAATGCCAGGAACATTTGCAATAATCACATTTATGAAGGGAATGTGACACCACTTGTTCAGTGTGACTGAGCTGTTGCAGAGATTCATATTAGCTAATTAATCACTGGGATTGCTAAAGGGGAAGAATCCTTTCCAGGCACATTAATAGACGTAGCAGGAATATGCCTGAGAAATTGTGCTTTCCTTCTGTGTGCACAAAAAAAAAAGTGAGTTGAGAGGCTGGCACTTGCATTACTGAACAGCAAGTGGACGAACAGTGAAACACTGTTCTGCCAAAGCTGGAAAGCCCACCCTACCCTTAAATAGATAAAGCCCTTCTATGAGTTTCTTCTGCAGAAGCAGAGATCAAAGCTGAGAAATCATAGCAAATATCAGGCTCTGAGCTATAGTGACAGCTGGAATAATCTGTTCAGTATTTAAAATATTTTAAAATTCGCTGCTATTTTTGGAGATTCTGATTTTTGTCGTCCTTAAGCAATATGAAAAGAAATATGCAGATCAACTTTCTACCATTAATGCAGATGAGATCTACTTTTATTGCTAATAACAATAAGTTTGACAAGTACCTTCCAAAATCTTCCAGAGTACTCTTTTGAGTTTTAAGCCCTCCTCCTATAAAACTATATTCATATGTGAAATAGTAATCTCACAAACAGCACTGCTGCAAACTGCAGGAACACTAATGATCCAATTCCCATCACGTTCCTATATGGAAAAATACAACCACTTTCTCCAATGACTAGAATTCCAGTAGGCAGGAAATTTGTGATGTAAAAGCAAGTGTACTTTAATGAGTGCAGTAAAAGAAAGAGCAGGAAAATATCAAAAGAGAAAGGGAGAAATAACGCTTTCTAGGAAAGATAAATGCACAAGCAACAAGATGACTCAGTCCTGTATGTTTGTTCAAGCTGCATAGAGACCCATAGCCTTCAGATAGTCTACACTGATTAGAACTCGTTCCAGAATCTCCCAAATTGAGACAGAAGTCTTTCTACTGTTTTCAATGCCTAATTATTCCATACTCAGATGCCAACTGAAGCTGAGTTACTGGAATAAAAAGAAACCCACAACCAGTAAGTGTTGATATAGATGCAAGAAGTAGACCAAACTCAAAAGTGTTCCAATTAGGGTTGTGATAGAAATGTCTTATATACTGATCCTAGCGGGACAACTCTGCTTAGTCCAACTAAACACAAAGGTTCTCAATATCTCAGTCACTCTCCTCCTTGGTTATTGCTGCCTATATGGACTTCCTTTGAGCTTCCCTTCTGGCAGTTCTTTCAGACCACAGGATTCATACATATTTCCTGTATTAAAATTTCCTCATGACATCCTGAACCAGGACTTCTTTTTCCACACACCCACTACTACTCTAAAACAACCTGTAGAGATTTTGATTAAGGGAACAAGAAATATGGCAATGTTCTCTCAAAATGTCTAAGCCTTGAGAAACAGCAATTGCAATTGCTTGATTATGTGGCAGCACAGTTATCACAATTACATTTTTTTGTTGCTAAATAAACTGACAAATTGGATTTTAAATACATTTCAAATTGGATATGGGGTGAGCAGAGGATTGGGGAGTCACTACTCTGTTGTTTCTTCCTCCTCCTTCCCCTTCTGTTTGATCGTCTTCTAGCAAAAACAAACAAACAAAAAAAAAAAAAAAAAAAAAATCACTATTTCCCATGTAAGGACATTGAACATAGGTTTGCTTATCATGGTTCGAGGCAGAATGAACATGCCAAAAGTATTTACCTCAAGAGCAATTTGAGGAAGCATTCTGCTTCAGGGAAACACGTAACTATCCGAGAAAAGATCAGTATGTGCTTCAGAGGTTTTCAACAGCAAGGTTTTAAAGATATAATCCAGAAAAAATTTCCTGCCCATATCCAAGCACTTGTCCTAATTTGCAAAATATTTTTTCTATTTCAGTATGCAATCCAGTCCACAGTAAGTTAAATGTGATCTTTCTGAAGATTTTTTTGTTATTTCTTCCTTCAAAGAAATGTAGCCTTCCTGCATTCAGGCACACTCATGCACTGATACAGTTACTCAAGTGGAAAGATGTTGTTCAAGTTACTGATTTAACTCAGAGGAAGCAGGATCTCCCAGTCTTGCATGAACTGCATCATCAGCTACCGGAAATTGAGTGGGCATCCCCTCCTTGATTCCAATCACAGACTGCTCTCAGGACATGAGGGGATTATTTTTCACAAGAATTAGCTGCAGTGGAAAACTTCACATAAGACTGACCCTTTGAACTGCCTTTATGCAAGAAGTGAATACATAGTAAGAGCCCATGTTTGCTAGAGTAGTCCTCCATCACCTTATTCCAGCAAAAGGCTACTACTTCAAGAATCAGCAATTCCTTAGAGGGAAGAAGAGGGCTATGTGTGTTGAAATGCACAAAGAGACATTTAATGGAGCATTCCATTTGAAAAACTGTAAGGTAAGAACATGCACCTCCCCAAACATAAACAGTGAAAAATTTTAAAGTGTATTTGGAAATGGTTACAACCATATTTCTGGGCCTTCTATGGTGGCAGTGATCAGGATAAAATATCATCAGTGACACAAACAGCATGACGGAATTATGTAACAGATTCTAAAGCATTTTCAAAGCAGCTTTGATACAACATTAAGAATCAGCAAGAAAAACTTTGCTTAATATTTCAACAGTTTAAAAGTTAAACTTTTTTTTTTCCTCTGATACAGTACTGAGACAGAAAGAGGAGATGTGTTAAGTCTTTTGCCTATGATGCAGGATTATCACAGATTTGAAAAACATCCTTGCATACTCAAAGTGCCCAACAGCAGCAGAAGAATTGACTTGCAGCTATTTCCAAAGCATTTCTTTATGTATTCCTTTCCCTGTCATTCTCATAATGTAATTTGAGTGTAGATTATTGAAGCAATTTTACAGAGCCTGAATGAGACTGAGAACCCGTATCTAGCTCTGATATCTTCTGGGACTGGGGCAGAATGATGGATAATTTTTTTTCCTTACACGTCTGCTGTTCTAGAGTGAGAAAAGCTTACTCTTTCACTTTGAGAATAATGTCAGAAGAGTTAAAAGGGTAAGGCTTAATTTTAATATTCACTGCTCCCTTGGAAGAGGAGACAAGAAAGTTTACTTGAGGGATAATTTAGCCAATTCCCTGCTTAGCGGTTGTGAAATTATAAGTTGATACATGTGAACGTGAGAGAACTGTGGTTCCTTTAGAAGACGTTGTTTCTCTCTGTAGTCACAGCGTCAAAACAGAGTAAACATTTAATTTACTTACGATGCTGCATACTCCTCTGAATATCTTCATACTCCTTTGTAGCTCAAGGCATACTTCCAGTTCACAAGTGATCCCTCCTTTTCTCCTGGTGTTCTATATTTGCAAAATCAAAGCAAAAAACATACTAAGAAAATGCACAGACTTCTAAAGGGATAATTAAGGTCAAGTAGAAGCTCTACATCAGTTCCTACAAACACCATGGAGATGAGAATAGTTCATTCTGGTTTTAGTATCTACAGCTTCAACCACTGTGTGAATGACAGTGAAGAAAGTACTCTGGCAAGGTATCTTTCAAGGAATGTTTTTTGTTTTATTTTGTTTTTTTCCCCCAGAATAGAATACTACAGCTCAGCAACACAGAAAGATCACTGAGTCCAACAGCCTAAAAACTTCACAGCTAATGAAAAGTTAAAGCTTTAACTGATTATTTTATCTAAATGCCTCCTGAACACCTGACAGGCACAGGTCATCAACTTCCTTACTAGGAAGCTTGTTCCAGTGTTGGACCATCCTCAGAGCAACAAAATTCTCTTTAGCATCTCATCTGAAACTCCCCTGTTGCAGCTTTGTGCTATTCTCCAGCATTCACTCATCAAATCCCAGGCACAGGAGACTGGTACCTTACCTTCCTCTCTACTTCCCCTCCTCACAAAGTTGTAGGGAACAATGACACCACTTAGTCTTCTTTTTTCACTGGACTAGATAAACCAAGTCCCATTCCTATAACTACTACTGCTGAGTCAGTTTATCACCATATATATATATTAACAGATATGAATGATTCTTTGAGTCCTCACATGGTAGTATGTCTGCTGATATGCTGATAGGGCAGTATGTCTGCTGATAGTGTTGTACTTTCTTTTATTGAATAGCTTAATTGGTTGATTATTACTCAGAATAATAATGGAATATGAATATATGTTATACTGACTGAACCCCTTTTTCTCACAGTTGGAGAATTCTTCCAGAAGAATAATGAGAGCGACTGGGTCAAAAGCCTTACTAAAGTCCAAAAAGATTACCTCTACCACCTTTCCTTCATCCACTAAGCACACAACCTCATTGTTAAGGAGATCACATTACCAAGGATGGATTTTTCCCTTGATGAATCCAAGTTGCTTATGCCTGCTAAATGTTTTGTTCATTAAATGCCTATCAGTGTCGCTCAGGATAACCTTCTCCATAATTTTTCCAGGCACTGAGGTTTGGACTAACACATCTGTAGCTTCTTGAGTCTTCTCTCATATTTTTCTTGTGGATTGGCATAATGCTGGCAAGGTTCCAGCGAGTCTGAATCTCACACTCCCAAAACTTACTCCCTTATTCCAAAGAATAAGTGCATGTTCATCTGCAATTTCATCTATATGACAGTGTCTACTTCAGAATGGCATTTTAAAGCAATTTGGTAAAAAGTATCACATCTTAAACTATTAAAATTGGCTTCCCATCAAGCCTTTCATAGCAAAGTGAGCTGATTAATGATTTTTTTCCATTATTACTCTGAGTAATAATCAACCAATAAAGCTATTCAATAAAAGAAAGTACACCACTGTCAGCAGAACATACTGTCATATGGGGACTCAAAGAATCATTCATACCTTTTAAAAAAAAGTATCATGGCATCATAAAATTCTTAGAGCTGGAAGGAGCCTTTAAAGGTCATCTAGTCTAACTCCTCTGCAAACAGAGACATTCACAGCTAGATCAGGTTGCTCAGAGCACCTCCATCCTAACCTTGAGCGCTTCCAGCAACAGGGCACACATCACATCTCTGGGCAACCTGTTTCAGTGCCTCACCAATCACTGTGAAAGTCTTTTTCCTTATACCCAATCTAAACCTACCCTCTTTAAGTTTGAAGTTTGTTTGTCACACCTGAAAAACTGTTTCTTAGATTGGCACATACCTAATGAAGTAAATTAGCACTGTTAGTGCAATGCATGCAGAATCCTAGTGAAATCACCATGGAACTGTGAATACTAGAACTGAGACCTAACTGCTGTAGAAAAGGATGCTTCTCTGAGAGTCCAAATTCTATCAAGTATTAGGGAGCACAGTTGTAAACATTTCCTTGCCAATTGCACAGGGCAGCTCAGCCCCATATTTTCAAATGCTTTTGTCACAGTTTATTCTTGCACTCTATGAATCAAAATTATCAGTCACAAAATCATTAGATAATTTGGGTAATGACTGCTATATTACTAAGGTATCTTTAATAAAAGAAGTTATGTGAACATAACTTCTTTCCTGCTGAAAATTTAATACAGTTTATGCAACTTTTGATGGCGCATTAAATCATCTAGTATTTAACTTTGGCACTAAGACTGATTCAGCTACACAACTGAATGCAGACAAGAGTGTCACCAAAAGCTGAAACATGCATATGTTAAGAAAAGTTAAGAAATAATTTAAAAAATTATTTAGACCAAAATTTAAAAAAATAAGTTATATTCTTCCTATAAAACTGAGCTCTAGTAGAGTAAGAAACATTGCAGATTAAGATACTGGATAACACCAAGAGTTAAGAAGTGCTCCTTTTTTTCTTTTTTCTTCTTCTCGTCTGGACATTTTCAAATATCTCCTGTTTTCTATAAACTGTATTTCTTCCTTCTTGCCCGGCCTAGGTAATACAAATTAACAACAAAATATATAAGTTTCGTGTTATTTGGCACCTTCTATAAGTCATATCAATGCCTTTAGCTGCCTGTATCATTTGAGTATTTGGAGGAAGCAAAGACCAGGCATCAGGTGTATTCTCAGCCACTAGCATGAGTACCTGGCACTTCACAAAAAAGAAGCCCACCCTGCACAGAAAGAGCAAATTTGCACAATGTCACCCTGCACGCTGCCTAACTTGGCTGGTGTCAAAGAAAAGACATCAAAGAAAAGTATTTCAGCACAAACTTAACATGCACTGAGATCACATTGCTCCAGTTCCAGAGCCAGTTCCAGCTGGCTCCTAATGGGACTCATTGCTGGTCAGAGCTGAGCTATATAATCACAGAATCATAGAATGGCTTAGGTCAGAAGGAACCCCAAGGGTAACCACGTTCCAAGCCCCCTGCTACAGACAGGGCCACCAGCCTCCAGATCTGGCACTAGACCATGTTGCTCAGCGCTCCATCCAACCTGGTCTTGAATACTTCCAGGGACAGAGCATCCACATCCTCTCTGGGCAGCCTGTTCCAGCATCTCACCACTCCCTCTTTAAAGAACTCCCCCCAGACATCCAATCTAAGTTTAAAACTTAAGCTCTGAGTTTAAAACTGTTCCCCCTTCTCCTATCACTATCTGAGTAAAAAGTTGATTCCCCTCCTTTTTATAATCTCTTTTTAAATACTGTAAGACTGCAATGAGGTTTCCTCACAGCCTTCTCTTCTTCAGGCTGAACAAGCCCATCTCCAACAGCCTGTCTTCATAGGGGAGGTTCTTCAGCCCTATGATCATCTTTGTAACCTTCCTCTGGACCCGCTACAACAGCTCCACATCTTTCATGCACTGGGGACCCCAGACCTGGCTGAGTCATCAATCCAGATAGGGCCTCATGAGGGCAGAGTAGAGTGATACAATCACCTTCCTGTCCCTGCTGGCCACCCCTTTTCTGATGAAGTCCAGGATACCATTCATCTTCCAAGCTACAAGAGCACACTGCCGACTCACATTGTTTTTCATTCACTGGGACCCACAGGTCTGCAGGGATACTTGCAAGGAGTTCTTCTCCCAGCCTCTATATGCATTCAAGATTACCCTGACCCAAGTGCAAAACCCTACAGTTTGCTATGTCATTAGGTTCATATGAGCACCCTTTCTGAACTTGAGGTCCTGTAAAGAAAGACCAAGCCCTCCTCAGAATGAAGGATTTCCTTACACTACATGACCCTATGCATTAAATGCCACAATGTTTAATGCAGCCAAATATGATCATCCACTTGAGCAAGGCCCACACCCTGAGAGATATTTGGATGCCAAGCAGTTGCTTATTTATCCGGTGTCTGATTATAAAAAAGGCTCACTACTTAACTAGAGGGGCTACATAGCTAAGAACTCTTCCTGATTTCACTAGGAGCTTCTGAATAATCAAGCTTTCCCTCCTTCAACAACATACTTTGCATTTCCCTCATAGGAAACTTAACTAAAAATGTCAGTGATCTCCTGCTACAAAAAAAAAAAAATCTTAGACATTCTAAATGCACCGAAAGAATCTATAATTATTTATTCATTTTCATTTTTTATTTTTAATGCTTTGATTTCTGAGAATCACCACAAGTTTTCTGGCATAATAATTATAAATACTTCATGACAGTGTATGGATATAGAAATTCCATTTGTAGTTTTGACGAGTCTGCAATGAAATGTTCATGCATTGTTTTTACTCATATGAGGACTTGGATGTCACAGTAATTTTAAAAAGATAGAACTTCTGCATTATTTCACACTTTTCTCATTATTTATCATTCCCTTTCTCAGCTCAGTGTCATTTCCCAGCAGAAAATTCCACTGCTGGTTTTAATGTGACATATGCACTTAAAAACTAGAAGGAACTGAGGAAGGTTCAGTCAGACAAAGGACGTATTCGTGGCAAGAATGTGCACATAGGAAAGCTTATTGCAGAACTAGTAACAGCAAGCAAATGACAAGGTGGAAGCTACCTGTACCACTGACAAGTAAGGAAGGCTATACAACACAACACTGCAATGTAGTCCACTCCGTACACAGTTTAGTTAAAAAAAAATATATAATTTCCAAGAACAAACTGCCATCACAAAGTCCTATACTTCATTCTCCTCCATTCTTTTTGCGAGTCTCTAGAGGCTGTGAGACAGGGTTGCTCAATGCATGTCACATGAAACCCAAAACAAAGCCCTCATGTTAGTTGCAGTGCCTGAAAAAACTACTGTAAAGCTAGCAACATAGCAAGGCAGGTTTCCATTTCTCAATTTTGAGATGAAGCAGCGCATGCTACACCTTGAACTGCAGTACATCACCTTTGCACAGCTCCCACAAAGGGCATCCAACGATACTGAAAACAGAACTCACCTCAAAGGTGCACTAGACCAGAAAAATAGTGCATAACAGTGCAATTTAACAGTGCAAT